GCCAGAGGTTGCCTAAAAGGGTTCCGGTCTGTCTACGGAGCTGAAGACGGCGTGCCTTGATGCCGTGGGGCACATATCCAAAAGGGCTTTGGCAGGTCGTTGTCGGCCATCGAATACGAGGTCGAAATGGAGGCATCATACCTGACGAGACTTTGTCCCAGCAGTGGGTGGTTTCCGTATCAGCGCTGTCATCGGCGTTGACCCGGTTTGTGGAGGCTACGACTTCGTCGCCAGGGCGACATGATGACCCTGAGACTGAGGGCCCTGAGCTGCACCAGCCTCTGTATAAGAGGGCCGCGGCAAGCACGAGGCTGATATTGCAGCGCACCACGGCCCAAACTCACTAGTCATGCCGGAATAGCCTTGTAAAATGCTGCTCGCAGGCTCACTAGGGGGAAATCAGCCCACCTCGTGCCCGCGCTTTGCTCCAAATAATACAACAGCCTCGATAGCATATTTCACCTCGCGCGTAGCACGGATTTTTGAGTCTTTGGTCATTACATACGTGCAATTCATTGCGCTCCATGCACTTCGTCGCCGGCAGCATAGCGGTGACCTCCTGCGAAGGAGTTTGCTTTAATTTGGGCAGGAGTTGACTCGATTCAAAAACAACCGCGATGGACTTCGTTGTCTCCATCACCCTTGCCGTCGTTTAATATCTGCGTTACAGCGTGATCTATTTGGAAGTATCGGAGTCGTCCTTCCATGCCTCTAGATTTCCCTAACGGCGGACCTTGAAATCATCCCTCAAGTCAATCATGCACTCTTTCCAGCGTCCTCCTTCAGACTGACGATTCGATTGAGCACAATCTTCCCCGCCGCCTCGTCTGTATCCTTGTCCATGCAGAAATAGCCCATACGCATCGCCTGAAACCTAACCGACTCAAAACCGCATTTACCCTTCTTTTCGCCAGCTTCCTCTGGCCATGGAGCTCGTCCCCGGATCTCTTTCAACCCGACCTCTGCCATAGCATTCGGATACACCTTGAGACTGTCTTCCCGTATGTCTGCCATGAAACTCGGCTCCACCGAGTCTGGATTGTCGGACTTGAAGAGAGGGTTGAAGACGCGGACCTCGCATTTGATTGGTGAACCACGCTCCGGAGCATCAGCAACCCAGTGGATGTAAGCTTTGGGCTTCTTGATTTTCTCGCCTTCTGCTGGCTTGTCGTACTTCGCATGGATCTCAGTGACCAGTCCAGTAGCCTCATCCTTCTTGAAGCTGGTCGCAATAACGGGATAAGGGACTTTCAACAGGCCAACAGGCTTTCCGGGCGCCATGCGGAAGAAGTCTTTGCTGTCCACCTCTCTGAAGTCGTCGCGCTCGATATAGACCTTCTTTGTGAAGGGCAGTTTGTGAGAGCCCATATCGACGTCTTTCGGACCGAACGCATTTTCCAGTTCCTCGTAGTAATCGTCGGGCAGATCGTCGATGATGACAGGTACGGGATCTAGCACAAGCATGAGACGAGGCACGGTCATTTCCAGATATTTGCGGATTGACTGTTCAAATCGCACAATCTGAATATTGATAGTCGCCGTGGTGACTCCAAGCTCGCTGACAAACGACAGGATAGCACCGGGCGGAACACCCCTCCTCCGCAAAGCAACAAGAGTGTACAACCTGGGGTCGTCCCAACCGGCGACAATCTTCTCGTCCACCAACTTTTTGATTTTTCGTTTCGATAAGACAGTGCCGGTGACGTTTAATCGACCGTATTCTCTCTGCATCGGTTTGTGAGGGACGTCGACCTTGTTGTTGAGCCACTCGTATGATACTCTGGACAGGATGAATTCAGTCGTGCACAACGAATGAGTTATGCCCTCGAAGCTATCACACAGGCAGTGGGTGAAGTCGTAGGTAGGGTAGATTCTCCATTTGTTACCTGTGCGATGATGTGGTTTCTCGAGGACGCGGTAGGCAACCAAATCCCACATCTGAGGGTTGCCATCCGAAAGATCCTGCTTCATCCGCAAAAACGCTTCTTTGGGCTTATACTTGCCATCTCTCATGGCTCGAAACTCGGCAAGGGATTCTTCAATCGGTCGGTTTCGGTGAGGGCAAGCGTATCTCTCATGCTTATTCTTTGGATCTGTCCCGCCTCGCTGATCTTTAAGCTCCTCGTCGGTACAGTGGCATACATAAGCGCCGTCCAAGGTGATAAGCTTCTCGGCCAACTCGTACAACTGATCAAAGAAGTCGCTGGAGTAGGTGATCAAAGCAGGATTAAAACCCAGCCAGCGCACAATATCCTCAATGGCGATAAAATAGACTTCTTCTTCTGCTTCCGGGTTTGTGTCGTCGTATCGCAAGTTGCATTTTCCACCGTAGAATCTGGCAAACCCAAAATTGATTGCAATGGCTTTGCTGTGGCCGATGTGGAGATAGCCATTCGGTTCTGGAGGAAATCGTGTGACTACCGGTTCATCGGCTGGTCGTTCCTTCCGGACTGCCGCCAGCCAGCCTTCTTTGAACATAGCATCTGGGTCAGCCGGTGCCGACGGCGCCACATTGGCGGGTTTTGCAGGGTTCACAGGTCTCTCCGCTCGTGGCTTTGCCTCCCTGGATGGCTTGGGCTGCTTCGGCGCCTTTTCTTTCTTGGACTTCTTGTCCGTTATCGCATTCTCGATTTTCTCCTTGACGCGCTCAGGCAAGCTCATGCTTGCCTCCGTAGATTCAGCCATAAGGCCAGGAAACGAGCGGGTTTCAAATATTGCCACAGTCTTTCAGTGAAAACCCTTGATGACCGGGGATAAAGGCACGTGAGATGAGATGAGGGTGATTTGAAGAAGCGACAGTCCCACCAAGTCCGGCGAAAAGCAACGACGTCTTCACTGACGACGATGATATATGTTGTTATCGAGAATGATCTGGAATCTTCCAGTTGAACATCAGTGTCGGTGCATTGTTGCAAGCGAGGCTGGCAGCGGGATGAGTCAAACTTATCGAGGAGCAAATATGCCAAGATCGAATTTATCGAGGAGAACAAATATGCCAAGCTTGAGTCAAACCCTGTTTGCAACTCATCCCGGATTAGGATGAGGGTGATGCCGCTCTGTGCTCACGTGCTCGCACCCTGCTCCCCCTGTTCGCAGTCGCCGGTTCGCAGGACCTGGATGTTGACTACTGTAATCAATAAATTTGCATCAGACTGTCACCACAGATCGTACGAAGGCATGTGTTGACAGGGTCGCGAGAGCACCATTGGGGCAAACCACCTGAGACGCTAGACGCTTCACCAACTACGCAAATTGCCTCAACCTCGTTGTTCCTGCAGATCTGCGACAGGATGGCAACGGAATAGGAGATTTCAGGAATGCTCTTGTGGTTACAGGCCAATGTATATATAAACAGGCAGAGTCTCTCTGAATAGCCAGGGGGACAGAACACAATCAACCAGACAGGTCCACAACTCAACCTTTCGTACAACAGCATGGTTCACATTGAGGAGCGAAACACACAAAATGCATATCAACAAATCTTGGGCTGCCCAACTGGCTCTAATATAAAACGAGTCAAGTGCTCAGGATATATAATCCAGTCAGCGATACTGTTGAACCATAAATATAGCTTGACAAAATATCTTCCACCAATATATGTTGCGAATCATTAGTAGGGTAGTCATTCTCATCCTGTGGGGACTGGCCTCTCAGGGAACTATACTAGCGATGGCATATGTGTCGACAACCTCGATGTCAGGATCATATTGGACATTTGTGAACAATAGGAATACTTGAAGACACCTTCTCCAGACGGTACATATAAAGTACCTCAGTTTCTGGATTTCGAAATAAAATAGTGCTATTGTTGCAGCTGTGCAAAATACCGTTGCTCGACTTGCAAGGGACAATATCCTTCACGTCAACATTGTTACATCATCAGAAGGTGCCGAAGTGTTCGCGCTTTCGTATTAAAAGATCCCTGATCTATTGTATGGTCAATAGATTACCAGCTGCTGACATCAATTCATATTGGCGTATCAACGAGCAACGACTTGGTCCCACATGGCTGGCAATCAGGCATTTGGGCTTCAAAATACCGGACATCGAAGTGGGCTACAGCTTTGCTGCCATCACTTATCGGATTAGCTCTAATACATTGCACGCACCCAAAACTTGATACAGCAAGGGACGTGGGATATAGACCTGGCCTTATAATTGTACGTGTTGACAGCAGAACGCCACTGTAGCAAATCATCCACCAATGCTGCGACCCAGGCCTCTCTGTAGCAGCCTCTGTGCCACCGTTGGTTGATAACAAGGCCTGGATAGATTTGGCCAGGTCCAGACCTGTTCGGCAGACGGATTATTGCCACAGTGCAAATAGTATATAGACAGGCAGAGTCTCTCTGAATAGCCAGCAGAAGAGAACACAATCAAGCAGATAGATCCACTCTCAGTCTCTGTACAACACGTAGGAAGTTGGGATGTACCCAGTACGTAGGTCACGACCGGCACTTGGTCGCCACAATGATCCAGTCGAGCTTGACGTCCGGGCGCCACTGTATCAAGGGAAAGAAGGGTGGATCTCGGCTAGAACAAATTCTCATGCGTGATCTTCGCGATACGTACTCCGTTCTGAGGGTTCGAACAAGACCACCTTAGCTTGTCTTCGAATGATTATGCCGCGATCATTGTAGCAGGGCTCGAGAGTCTAAGTGTCACTATTCCTACATCCCGGAGTCAAATTAGATGCCACGTCTCTACACGCTCCATACATCACCCAGCTGTGTCTTATTTGCCCAGCGCGCTTACTAACAGATCTCTTTGCGTTCTTCGCTGTCAGCCACTGAGTGACCGATGGGGAGAGAATGACAGGGTCGGAGCAAAAAGCCATCCGCTTTCCTGGTCGGAAGGTTATCATGACTTGAAACGATGATGAGAACGGGCAAACAGGTCCAGGAGCCGGAGACATCGAGTGGCAGTTTCAAGAAAACTCTTGGCCCGTACCAACTCGTACCTTCACTGCTTCCAACGCATCTCTCCATAAACCCTGCACATCATGTAGTTCTTTGGTCATCTCGGCAACCAGTGTCTCTGCCATGTTGTCCACCCTCCATAACCGGCTGAGGCGTTTCAAAGATATAGCCCAATGCACGAAGACCAAAGAGCAAGTCGATGTCCTTGGCGAAGCATAGTAACATAATGTGACCTACACATGGACAACCACGCAAGGGCCATGAGCTCACCCCTCGGAAGACTCGTCCCATCAGCTCAATAACTGTCGTGATGGTTGCGTGGCCTAATGGATCTACGCCAGAAAGCAGGCTGTTGTTCAGATTGTTCAACCGAGTGAACAAGGCTTCATCACCATCCCGGACATCCGCCAGCTTGATGCATTGGTCCATGTCAAGAAAATCGCCAAAAGGGCCCTCAATAATCCAGTCCCATCCTTCGACAGCGATTGTGGGTAACTCCCTGGAGGAAGTTGCGGGCACAGCCGCGCCATCCAAGATCTTAGACCTGGGCCGAATGGCACCAGCACTCGGCGACGCGACAGCATACACCATAGCAAGCACGGCGAATGCAAACACGGCATGACAGTTGTCTTGGTTGATGCCGTCAAGAGCGCTGCGGAAGGATGTGAAGGTGCGGTTTTTAATAGCGGGATCCTAGCTATTGGAGTCGTTCTCGATCGGCCTCCACAGGCGTGCGGGTGGAAAGATCTAGCACAGGTATTCCCAATATTCCGTCCATCAGGTAGTCCTGCTTGAGCGCACACCGCGGAATAGTGTTTGCCAGAGTTCGTCGGTCAGTCCCGCCACGGACAAGCGGTTGTACGTATGAGCTGCGAAGTGCTGCATTAATTCGAGATCCTGCGGTCGTGGAATCGGTAAAGTATCTGCAGTCATTGTCACAGTCATGAGGCTGGATGGCGAAATGCCGGAGTAGGAGGTTGGGCTTTCATAGGCCAGTAAAGAATCGCCGCCGTGATCATGTCTCGAACCGACTGACGTCGATGGACGTCTGGGATAACTGCATTTAAGGCCTCGGATCGCACAACATGCGCACGGAGGGCCATGTTTATCGCACCGCCATCTCAACAATCAGCAATACATATGTGGAAAATGCGGCATACGAACGCAAGCGCCGACAGAACGGCAGGAGAGTTGCCCGAGAGATCCTTCGCCAGAACGAGACCGCTCTAGTAAAATGCGTTTGGCGGGACGGCAGGATCGTTGGGACAAGCTCAAGACGGTCATAGTAGAGGAATAAGAAGCAGGTGCCAGGAATCAAGTCATAAGCAGGGGGATCAGTTACCTCTATTCTCCGGATTCTGCACGGCTGGCACCCGTTCCGAGATTTCTTATGCGACCTGCGGCTCTTACGGTCACTATCCTTGGACCTTTCGGATTGCGGCCGCAACATCGTCTGGAACTAAGAGAAAGCTGTCCAGTTCGAGCCCTTTGTCGATGCTGAGGAAAGTGTGTCGATGGTCACGAGTCCTAAGTGGCTGACTCCCACATTTGCCTCCAGGAGATCGGGAAGAATGCGGTATATTACACTCTGGTTATGAGGTGGTTTACGCGAAAATCCTCCTGAAGTGTGAAATTTCCTGGCGCGTATTCGTATCCGCGCTGCCCAATGCCAAAGCCCTGAAGTTGTGCCTTTTAGCACCTAATACTTTTTAATAATTTGAGAGGTTTGAACACCTCTAATTATTTTTATAGGTCATGTATAAAAATTTTGAATACAGCTCTCTCGGATTATTGCTGTTAACCCAACATAGCAAAATAGGAAAACTATTGGTGTGGGCATTTCAGCCCCTTTTTCTCTCTGACCGTCAGACACTCCCAGCTTGACACGTCCCACAATACCATACAGCGCTTTTGCTTGACAGAATCAACCGATTCAACGACTACGAGCCTCCTAACCTTGCTCGGCCGCCTTCCGGAATTCTATCTGGACTTTGCGTGACCATCATACACGTACCGTATGCATTGAGGAATTGCTTCGCATTGAATATATGATCAATCACTTGACCATTCACATGGATCGACATGGTAATCACATGCCAATCAATGCGTACTAGGCATTTTGGCATGCTTCCTCAAGTGGGATAGTCGATAGCCAGCCGGCCGGAATAGCGATTACTATACTTTGCTGGCTTCTGCCCACCTCGCTGGTCCATTCGGTGTAGATGTGGCCGGTCACGGGTACAGGCTGACCAACGCGGCCATCAACTTGCTCATGTCCCATTGATTCGGTAACAGTGGGTGTTTCTGGCCGAAGTCAACTTCCTTACGACGCTTAGAGCAACTTTGCTGTGTCCCGGCTGAAAGTGGCTCGGAGATGTGGTGGTTCTCGCATCCGATTCTGACTAACGTTCGACCATTCAGGTTTGCCTCTGGGTCCACGCCGGTCCTAGCTCCGATATCCGCCAGGGTGCTAATTGCACTACAACCTCTGCATTGCGAAAAGACTATCCCCAATCTAGGAGACACTGCAAATCCTTCCTTTATATTGGACGGCATCAGGATCGGCATTGGCAACAGAGTCAGAACCAGAGCCTGAACTGTCAAACGTAGGCCCCGGTAATTGTGCACATATTGACATCCATCGTCCCTCGTTTAGGTTATCCTTTTACTACGGATATCAGTCTTTGCGCCACAACAATCCACTTCAAGTTGTTGTGCCATGGACAAACTACCGACCCTGGGAAGAATTATCGGTCAAGTGGTGGGACCTACTTATGCTGTCTACGCACCGCTGATTGCCGGAAACGCTTCAAAGATCGAACTGACAAAACGAGAGACGTTCAAGTACGGGGCACACCCTCGTCAAGAACTCGACATCTATCAACCGTCAGCAACAACAAATCCAGCACACGATACCAGTCCTAGGCCTCTACTGGTCTTCCTTCACGGTGGTGGGTTCGCCAACGGAGACAAAGTCAACGAAGCCCGACCGCTGTTCTACAAGAACTTGGGCCACTTTTTCGCCGACGGAGCCGGGTTGGAGACCATCTGCATGAACTACAGACTGATCACACACGGCGCGAAATTCCCCAGCGGCGCCGAAGATCTCGAAACCGCGCTCAAATGGATCGCGGAGAGGTACCAAGGCCAGCAACGAGACGTCTATCTCTTTGGAAACTCGGCCGGAGGGATCCACGTGGCCCATTGGCTCCTTGAGCCTGCCTTCCACGACTTTAGGCGAAAGATTATCGCAGGTTGTGGAGGAGTGAAATTATCGGGCGTCATTGTGGTGGGAGCACTGTTCGATTTCAAATCTTCATCTCCGGTTCTGCGGCAGAATCTGGCAGCGTACCTGGGGGATGATTTGGACAGCGCTGCGCCGGTCGAGTCGCTCACGCGATGCGCAGAGACGGGAGAATTCTCTTCTGGGCCTTGGCCGCGCTTGTTGATCGGCGATTGCGCACTGGATCCGCAGGATATCCTCAAGTCTACTCCAGAATTCATCGAGAGACTGCGGGCTGCGGGGAGCGTCGAGGTTGATTATCTGAACATCAAGGGACATAACCATATCAGTCCGCCTTTGGCACTGGGATCGGACATTGCGGCGGAGGAGGAATGGGGTCATGAGGTCGTATCTTGGATCAGGAAGTGATGCTGTTGCTTTGAAAAAAGCCTAGCACGAGATTCTATCAAGGAGTAAGTTGCCGCCTATCATTTTGTGTTCCTTAGCCGTCACAAATTCTACCTCTGGTACGGGCTCCTCGTGTTCAACAGAGAATGGGAGTGGATCTATCTGATTGATTGTGTCTCCGCCCCTGCCTACTTCAGAGAGACTCTGGCCATCTATATATCATTTGCACTGTGGCAACAAGGGGTCGCTGAATAGATCTGGGCCTGGCCAGATCTGTCCAGGCCTTCTTATCGGCCAATGGTGGCACCTGGGCTGTTATAAAGAGGCCTCGGTTGAAACATTGGTGGATTGGTTGGTTTGCCACAGTGGCGTTCTGCTGTCAACACCTCGCATCAGGTAGTCAGGTCTGAATTAGATCTCCTCGTTCCAATGGTGTGCAGGTCGTTTGAATTCCATCAAGAACTCGAATTCCAATCAAATTTGCTCCATCTGCCAACCGGCGTTCGTGGCCGTGTATCTTGGTCACTGACGACGGGCCCTTGCTACCTCGGGCGTGGTTTGACAGACACCCAAAGGTCGAGTGGAAGCGAAACTATGGACGTGTAGTATTTTATTGGCCTCTCCGGCTCTAGTAAGCTCATCTGTGACAAACGTTAGCCGTACTCGACGCACGTAGATCATTTCATATATAGGCCGGGTCGAGGCTTACGTCGTAATTCAATAACAATTCCGGTATCACTTTCTTCATTTCTATCCAGGCAATGTGTTGGCCAATGCACATTCGTTTTCCGTGGCCAAAGCCGTAGAACGCGCGTTCCATTCTCGCCTTTTGAGCGGGGTCGACTTCCGTCCATCGTTCAGGCCGGAACTCCTCAGGCTTCGATCCCCAGACATCTTCGCGAAATCTGAGCGCGGAAAAATTCAAGGCGACAGATGTTCCGCCGGGGAGGTAGACGCCCGCAATGTGCGCACCGCCTGCAGGAACTTCTCGCTCCAATGGAGCCTGATTGACCGGGTTCAGTCTCATGGCCTCTTTGATGACCGCTTCAAGATATGGAAGTCTATTCACCGACTCGAGTGTCGGGGGAGAGGCGAGTCCGGCTGCTTTCAACTCTTCTCGCAGCGTGGCCAGACACGGTGGATTTTTCAACAGGCGCAGGAGCACCTCCACCATGGTGGATGCTGTTGTTTCAGCACCGGCATTGATTGTGGATATGACCAACCCTACGACGGTGCCTCTCTCGATAAGTTCAGGGGACTTTGCGTGGCTTTCAAGGTACCATTGTAGAAGATCGGACATCCCTTCGAAGTCACCCTTGGAATTTCGCTCATTGATCCTTTTCAAGGCTTGCTGACCAAGTAGACTGGTGCCTCTTCTGCCTCGAACAAAAGCATTCTTGTAGACTAGCCTCTCGAGGCCGGGACTGGCATACCATCGGAACCAATGACCAAAGCGCTCTCTGGCGCCAGTGAGTATGGTTTCAACTTCTTGTTCGGTCAGATCTACATCGCTGAAGGCGATTCGGCAGATTGTTTCGAAAGCAAATAGCTTGATCCACCGGACGAGGTCGACGTTAGGCGTCTGAGACCGAAGGCGTGAACTGAGAAGATTGATGGCTTCGTTCACATGTGCCTCATAGGCCCCGATCGCCCGGGGAGTAAATGCAGCGTTGATGTGTCTCTTGATTACCGAAACTTGCGCCTCGTTCCGCGTCGTGGTGAGAGAATCTTGAAGTACCCCATTGACCACTGGAGTTGCAGGCTCGTACGATACCGCCTAGGTAGGACAGGTCAACAGAAGGCGATCAATTATTTCATTTCGAGAGGCAAACCTTCCTCCAAACATTATGCGTACCGTAGATCACAGGAATGACTGAGGGATCACTGAAAAGCACATTGTTTGGCGCCCATCGGACAATGGGCCCATATTCTCCGTCGAGTCGGCAGCAGAGGTCGAGAAAATTCTCAGATCGGCGGTTAAATTTCCAAGTAATCCAGAAACTGCTGAACTTGCTCACAAAGGGCCCGGGAATATGTCGGAGGCGGTAGAAGTTCTGAATAGTCGAAAACAACGCCCATGCAAATAGAGCAAGCCCAAGGATCAACGATCCAAACACCGCGGAGGAGCCGGTGAAGCGCGAGAAGGAAGCTTCCACCATCTCGCCTTACATCCTTCTTCCTCTTGTTGTCGTTATTGTTAAAGTATCTTTATAATCCTATGATCGACACCTAGGTAGCTGTGGGTCGTCCGCCTGCCACTTGTTTCACCCTTTAGATGGAAGCACGAGATCCCTAGCTTTTCACAAATACTGGAGCTCACCGGGCCTCATTGCTCTCTAGCTAGTATCATGACCCGGTCCCTACCCCAACTTTCGACAAAGTTTCAGCATTGACGGCTTAGTGGTGTAAAGCATCCACGGAGCGTCGGGTGGTTGTGAGCGGCCACCACATCTCCGAGATCAGCTTCTAGGGCCGGCTCCCTCCTTGATGTACCTCAGGTACCTTGGTACGGAACCACCAAAGGAGAAAACGGCAAAATGCCGCATGGCGCATTCCAGCCTACCCATGGCCTGATTGTCGGACTTAGCCCTACCGGGCTTTCGAGAATTTGCCCTGGCTTCAAGTCGCATGTCAACCCCCTGGCGTTGATAAACCGGATTCACGAATGGATTTACATTTTCCTCCTCCCTTTGCATCGTTTCATCCACAATCGCTGTCATCTCAGCAACAGTCGCAATGGCTATCTCTCCGGCCATTCCTATGCCGCCAAAGAAGTCCATTCTGGAGCGGCTGCCCGGCAAACTCCCAACTTCGTCAATCCCTGCGAACGTAGATGTGGAGTTCGTGGCGAAATCAATGGTGGACAGGTTTCCTGCGCTGACCAAAGATTGCTTCACGGATGATGCTATGTGGCGAGATAGCTATGCAATGACTGGCACTTTCCGAACGTTCTACTTCAATGCCACTGTCGCGCAACAGTGGTTGTTGTTGCGCGAGCAGCGACAGATCACGTCCAGGGAATACATCCCTGGATCCAGCAAAATCATTCCATTTGGTCCGGAATCGGCGTATTTGGAATGCCAGCTAAAGTTCACCACTTCGAACCCAGTCACAGAATGCTCAGCCTTTTTCTCCATGGTACCATCTCCTACGATGGATGGCGGTTGGAAGATCTGGATCTTGAGGACGGTGCTTGAACAACTGCCTGGTCACGGAAACGTTGATGTCCTGGAGCCCCGAACTCCATTGCTCGCAGACAATGGGGCCTCGTCTGAACTCCTCAGCGATCGAGGTTCCAATGGAAGCTCAACCTTCGTCAACGGCAACGGCTCCGATGCACACGCGACGGGACTAGAAGATGTTTACGTCAATGGCCACACTTCTCAGCAGACCAACGGCACTACAGTCGAGCATGTGGAATCCATCAATGACATGGCTGAACAACAAAGTATCCACCACTTTCAAGCTGTCATCATCGGTGGTGGCCAAGCCGGTCTTAGCACCGGGGGACGGTTGCGAGCACTCGGTGTCTCGTACGTCGTCATCGAGAAGAATGAGCAAGTCGGAGATGCGTGGAGGCTGAGGTACGAATCTGCGAGACGTAAGTTCGCATCTTAGGATGGCTAAACACCTCGACAAAATCGACCTATGGATCCTAACTTTCTGGCTTCGCAGTTCACACAGTCCGCGAATACTGTTGGTCCTCCGGCCCGACTTGTAGCATGCAACCGAAGCTGACGTACGTCACAGCACACTTACCCTTTGACCGTACGTTTGGACCTTCTTATCCGGAATACCTGGGCAAGGAGGATCTAGCGAAAGGTCACCTGGAATGGGCGCGAAAGTTTGGTATTGTAAGTCGGCCTTGTGTGAAGCCACAGCTCTGCGACAAGGTAAAGTGACTAATTGACCCTGGGCTCGATAGAATATCTGGCTCTCATCAACTGTCACATCAGGTGATTGGGATCAAGAAACAGGTCTCTACACCTTGACTGTCCGCCGGAAAGGCACTTCTACTCCCACGGTCATCACGGCAAAACACGTTGTAATCGCAACAGGGGCAGGCTCACAAACCCCAATAATGCCGCTTCTCGCGAACAGGGTAAGGTGGACAAACTCCCGACGTTTGCCAAAAATGAAAATAAAAAAAAGAAAGTCCACGATCTAAGGGTTTTTGCACAGGACAAATTCCGAGGACAGGTGTTGCATTCTGCAGATTATAAATCGGCTGAACAGTGGAGACACAAGGCTGGTATTGTCTTGGGCACAGCAAACACCGGTGGGCTCGAGAAATCGGTTCCCTCCTCCTGTGGCCACCGGAATGACTAATCAAAGGACTTTTTCAGCCCACGATGTAGCCGACGACATGTACGAAGCAGGCATGTCCGTGACCATGGTACAGAGAAGCCGGACTTGTGAGTGTTGTGCTCATGGCCCCTCATCATGATTGAGAGAAAAACACAAGAGAACTTCACACTAATACGTGCTCGCTACGCGCAGTCGTGCTACCAGTGGAGTACATCCAGGATAGATACCACAGTAAGGATTCTGTTCCGGCACAGCATGACACCGGACCCAAAGCCGCTCACGCTTCACGAGGTGGCCAGCAACTGACATTGTGGTGTTCAGAGTTGTACAACAGCAAGCTGTCCACCGAGACCAGCGATCGCATCATGTTCACGAACCCCGTGTCGATTGCTCGCCTGACTTCGGCCAATGCATTTCACGCGATGGCTCGAGCTCAGCCCGAGAGATGGGAAGCCCTGGAACGCGTCGGTTTCAAGGTCGACCCGTACGGTGACATCCAGGACGCGATCAACGTCCGCTTGGGTGGACATTATATCGACGTAGGCACATCGGCGAAAATCGCCAAAGGATGGGTGAGTAACACCTCAATTAGCCATTTTCTGACTTCTCTTGGTCGACGGATCATAAAAACTGACGTAGCCAATTCTACAACTCAGATCAAAGTCAAATCAGACGCACTAGCCGTGTCGTTTTATGAAGACGGCCTCGAGTTTGCGGACGGCACTCGAATGAGAGCCGACGTCGTCGTCTTCGCCACGGGATTTGTCGGCAACCTACGTAACCATGTCGAGCAGATCTTCGGCAAAGAAGTCGGGGATCGGGCTGGTGATTGCTTCGGTCTCAATGAGGAAGGAGAAATCTTGGGAGCTTTCAAGCCAGTGCAGCGTAAGTTTACTCTTTTGTCCCTCATTTGCCGGCCAATCTGCAATCGCTCAGCTTGGCCCAAAGGGGCGGCAAAGTCAATCTCAATCCAGCAGGCCAGGAGCTAACAACATCTCTCTTCTCGATCCTAGAACGCGGTCTTTGGTACATCGGAGGCGCACTCGGGCATGCGAGATGGTACTCTAGGTTTTTGGCCCTTTCCATCAAGGCCGACCAGCTGGGCACGCCGTTGCCCGTGTATGAGGACTGCAAGCATAGATTGGTGGATGAATGGTGTGAGGTGTAATATGTCCCGGCTGCCATGATCGATAGAGAAAGGATGAAGGGCGATAGCTAGAGAAAGTATATTTGGTGACATTCCAGCATCAACATCAGAGCACACTCTCGGCGACGTTTGGTACTGATACTCAACCTTTAACCGCTTCAGGCCAAACGTTCAAATTGGTAACTATGACCGCAAATCCGTCGAGCCTAGTGGCGTCTTTAGTCTGCGCGCCACTAGCATCGACCTCACGATGAAGATGCTCGTTTGCACGCGCCCAAGCCTTTTTCCGATATAAAGCGACAAGGTTCCTCGAGCTCGGAGGCCGTCCGCAGAGCCCAGCGCCCGCGAATCGGTCGGAATGTTTGTGGTTGTGTGTGGCGATCTCATTTTCTTTCTTTCGGAGCGTCAGTGGTTCTGGTCATCTGCCTCCTCCTCCTTCGCACCTCGGCTTAGTATGCTGCCCCAAGGAAGCCTACCAGCCCCAGCTCATCCTGATTCGACCTTGGGGATTATTGCTTACGTTTACACTCGTACAAAGAACGTGAACCTGTCCGCCACGAGGGAAACGCTCCGGTTAGTAGGCTCCAGCCAAAGAAGGAGCATCGCCTACTACTATAGAGGGAGTTGTAGGGACCGGCTTCTGGAAAGAAATCCAGCGCGACCACGTCTGGTGATCAACTCGAAGGGACCATTCGACGACCTGGTAAAAGAAAAGACTTTGATCGACATCTGGTCTGATTAGAAGCGGAGCGGAGCAAGCAAACAGTGGTGATGTCTAGACGCACCAAGGTCCTTCGCCAAACGGCGCCAGGTACAGCCGTCATTGAACAAGTGCCCATTCCATTGCCAGGCAAAGATGAAGTTCTCGTCAAGGTCTACGCGGTGGCCTTGAATCCCTACGATTGGAAAATGCTCTACGGTCGCGTACCCCCGGTGCCGACAGGCTTGGGTTGCGACTTCGCAGGCTTCGTCGAGACAGTTGGCGAGAATGTCACGAGAGTGCAACCAGACGAGCGTGTTGCGGGAATGGTACAAGGAGGAAACATTCTGAGACCTGACGACGGTGCATTTGCCGAGTACATCATCGCACCAGCACATGTGCTGCTCCATCTACCAGAATCTACATCGTTCGAGGATGGCGTAACTGTACCGACCCCAGCGTTCACGGCGGGGTTTTGTCTCGAGCATATCATGAGCATGTCAGTGCCTGTGGATGGACCAGTGTCAACAGTGAATGGACAAGCTGCGATCAAGGAGGCTGCACGCGAGGAATCGATGCTGCTTGTCTATGGAGGGGCGTCGTCGACAGGGTTGATGCTGGTCCAGATGGGAAAGTTGTACGTCATGAGAGTGGCCCTCGACTGTAGTACTTTCCCGGGTCGGTCACTAACTTCTCGTCCGACAGAGCTGGGATGCAAGTGCTGGCTGTCTGCTCGAAGGAGAGCTTCGACCTGGTGCGAAGGTACGGCGCCGATGTTGTCTTCGACTACGTGAGTACAATTTCCCCTCCAGGACCTGAGTCGAACCGGCGCCTGAATTTCGCTTGGCAAGAATCACTCACATGTATCTCGTTCTCGGTTCACAGCGTGACGCAGGTTGCGAGAAATCCCTACAGGACTTCACAAGAGGTCTCGTGAGGTACACTGTCGACTGTATCTCTGATGTCCAGTCTGCAGCCATATGTTCGAGAGCCATGGGCGCAGAACCAGGAACCTACATCAGCTTTACCGCAAATGGGCCCGAGATTGGACTCCCGAATGTCAAGTCTGTCAAAATCGTCTCGTTCACGGTCTTGGGGCGGGTATTCTCCTTCCGCGCTAAGGGCCCGATATTCCCAGTTATTGAGGACGATGCTGCATTTGGCGGGAAATTCGCCGATAGGCTTGAACTGCTGCTGAGAGGTGGAAAGCTCAAGCCTCTTCGTTCAGAAGAGCGAGAAGGGGGATTGACTAACATTGTGTCAGGCTTAGAAGAGCTGAAAGCTGGACGAGTTCGCGGACGGAGATTGGTTTATGCTCTTCAATGAGAGTCGTCCGCGAAAAGACCGGGATGTCCTGATCATGCAAGCCTCATCCATGTTGCGTCTGCAGGGTGGTCCGGTTGCCGATGACGAGCTGTTTACTCATATGCTGATTCTGCATTGAGTAGTTGCCGTAAAACATTGACAAAGGCCGTGGACAGGTCCCAGCTTCGCATGTTTTGAAGAATTCGTATAGTTTCTTCCAGCGCTTGCATCCGGCTTGACCGACTGCCAAGCACAGGGACTCCATAGATGCCGACCACAGCGTTATTCCCTCCTTCTTGAATCCATTTCAGCATTCTCAGGTGATGGACATCTCCAGCTGTGGCATGGCGGTCTAGAAATATCGGCCGCTGATCGTCGTGATGCACTTCGTCTTCCTGTGGCTCGGCCAGTAATGACGCTACGCACCAGAGTGCCGCGCCTGCGTAAAAAACATGAAATGGTTCGTACGGGCCATTGAAGGGGAAGTCGCGACTGATCGCCATGACTTGAGCACTATGATATGCGACTTTCCGCAGCCTGACAGGGTCTTCTTCGCCCCAAATTTTCATCCGCTCCTTAGCTGCTTTGTTTAACCCTGAGGTCCGTAGTAGGGCGGGAAGCCAGTCCATGAGATCGTTTGCGCCGTAAAGGTGACATATATGAATGATTGACGTACGTTCAACTTGCCGAGCCAGCTCTTTGTCATCGCTTATACCTCGGAGGGTGCTCAGTGGCACCGAGTAGTGGTCTAATGCGTGCAGGAGATTGATTTTATGTGCCACAAGCGGCCATTGTTCGGGCACGACATCCATGAGAGGGGAAGCTTGAAGCTCCTTGACTGACCAGAGGAATCGAGCCAACGTGATTACAATCAAATGAAGATGCTGAGGATCCTGGAGCTCGATGGTGATGGCAAGCTTTGTGTCAAAGCAGCTACGCGCAGCTATGCGAAAATTGATTGCATCATCCAAGGTCGACCGCTGCGGCACAAGGGCCATCCAGGCATGGGCGGAGGTAGCCTCCCAGCGAGCTGCATCTTCAGGCAGGCTCAGGAGGATATCACCTACACTCATCGTTGGCCGTCGATTGTGAAGGAATGAAACGGAAGCGTCGAATTCCTGTTCATCACTTTTAGCCTTGACCACTGTGTGGGTAATGGGCCATGGGAACGCACATATATTGCCCAGCCAAGCCGTTTGCGTCGCTCGGCATTAATCCATGCAGCCCATTGAGCTTGTGTATTGTTTTCGATGGGCCGCGTTGCCCTGTGTGGGGAGAAGAGCCCGATATTCCTGGCGTGTCGGACTAGAGAACTTCGGAGCGACTCACTATAGTTGAAGAGGGTTTTATCACCACTGCAATAGCCGTACACCCCCAGCAACAGCTGGGCTGTTAGATATGGTTCCGTCTTAGTAATATCAGGGTCACGCTCGACCTTGAGAAGAAAGTTAGAGATGATGAAGCCGAGGAAGTGTGCGGACGTACCGCTGATAGTGACAGGCGGCGAACGACCTCGGCGAGAGTAGTGGCGAATTGTGCTGCGCCACTCAATCTCGTAAATCGGGCGCCAATACTTGCTATCGCAAGCACAAGAATCTCGGGGGTGCTATTGGGATTGAAGGTGGGACGGTGAATAAAGTTGACAGCCTTGAGAAATGAAAAAGTCAATCGAACAGTAAAGACTCGCGGTCATCGACATACCGGACGCCAATTGATGAAGAATAGGTCGATACAATGATCGAGTTTCTCCTTGGAGGGAAAGCATTCCATTGTGATCGATTTCCATAGAGGCCGTTCGAGGGATAACTTGATAAACTGCTGGACTTGTTTACGATCGGCCTCGGTCAGGCGTTCGAGTTGACAGTGAGAGCCTAGGGATAGTTGGTCGACACGCTCTCCTCCCAGCCTAGGAAACGCCAACGGACGTTCAGGGGGTGTTGCACCGTCCAATAGCCAGCTTTCCTTGTTGGCGTCGTTCTCTTGGTAAGTTGACGCGGGCTGCTGGGCGTTCAGAGGCGTTTCTCCAAACTTCAGAGCAGGATCGAAGCACTCATGAACGGATCGATCTGCTGTTACACCGTTGAAATTCATCTCGTCGTCTTCGGTGATGTTTTGAAAGATCCAATCGAGGTCATGCTCCTCGCAGGAATTGAACACATCGTCAGAAAAGACTCCGGGAACACCGAGATTTCCAAAGGGATCTGCCGTGTGCTGGGGGGATGGGTCGGAGGTCAGCTGACGTGTGCCAGATGCCCAATTCAACGATTGGGGTGTGAAGCCTGGTGGATTTGGCATGACCTGCGCAATGGAAGTCTCCCATAATTCCGCTGCTGAAGCAGATTGCATCGCACTTCTCGAGGGGGTCAATCTTGACCTGGGTGCCGGACCTTTCGCGTCGCGGTCGGGAACCGAGCCTGCTGGATATGTGCAGCAGGCGGAACTGCGAAGACAGGCGGTGCATTTTGGTCGATCGCCGGAACACTTGATCTTGGATCTTGCACCAGTAAGTAGGATGGCGACCCATCTCAGATTCAGATCAGAGTACCGTTGACAACGTTCGCAGGACCACTTCCTCACACTTCGACCTGCCTCATGTACCTTCACATGACGGTTGTAGCTGTCCCTTAGGTGCTCGTTAGAAGGGCCAGATGATTCGACCGAGATCGGCGCATACTTGCGGGAGAAAGTCTTGAAGCAGACCGGACACGAATGCATGATACCTCTCAGGATGCGGATGTTGAGCCAGATCCTGGTGGAAGAGGGATTGGGGATGAATTTTGAAGGCACGAAGCGGTCGATGGATGACCGCTAATAACCGGGACGAAGAGGTGGATGTTCCTTCCCTAGGGACCTCTATAATTGTCAACTAAGCCGATCCAATCGCCTACCAGACCGAGGGCACTCAACGGACAATTTTTCTGAAGGCTCAGCATCCTGCGAATCCTAGCCCGGAGCCCCGGGTCTACAAGCCTCACTGGCCGCGCCACTAACCTAGATACATGTAGCCTAGTGCCCTTCTTAGGCGTAAATCGTGGGGGGACAAGGGCGACTTGGGGTTGGAGCCCCGCAACCCGCGGGGTTCCAGGTGCTTGAGAAAGCCTATGGAGTACGAGGTACCAACTAATGTACCCCAAGCCAGGTACAGGAACAAGTGTGTCCATCGCTGGCGGCCACACCGGTTTCACTGATGCCCAAATCCACTGAGCAGCTTGTGGGCGATCCTCTACGATAGCATTGCACCAGGAACCTTGTCCCAATTGATCGTGCTTCCCGTCAGTTCTTGAGGGATACCAGTCTCGACGATCCTGACAAACGCCGAAGCTGGCTGTTCCGGCCTTAGCAATTTCCCACCTGCGTGTATCTCGTCGAGGAATTTCTGCATTGCTGGAGACAAATTCGCTGCCCCCCACTTCTCAGTGACTTCAAGTGTTGGCAGAGCATGCGGGAGGATTCTTACCGTCGTTGCGTGCCCCAGCCATGGAATTGGTGTCCACGGCGCCAGGCGAAATGGCCAGCACCTTAATGCGAGGTTCTTCCAGGGGAAGACAGGAGCAGAGGTAATTCAACACTGACTTTGTGCAAGCATAACACGTCCATGATTCGGTCGGTTTCAGGCACACCCTGGTCGAGGTTAGGAGGACGTTTCCTTCGGTTTTCAGCAAATAGGGCCAGGCGTGTTGGATCTAAAATGCCCGATCTCCATCAGCGACTTTGGGGTGAAGGAACATCCGGTCCACCACCACGCACCATATCGATCAAGGCAAAGAAGTTCACATCAAATGCCTTTTTCCAGTCGGCAAGAGCAAGCTGCGGGAAAGGCCCTATAGGCTTCACAATGGCCGCATTCAATATCAAGGTGTTGATCCGACCGGCTTTGTCGAGTGCGGTCTGGACTGCTAGCGCACTGGTCGAACTTTGCGACACATCTCCAGACACAAGGAAGAGTTTCTGTGCATGGTCTTGACGCAACTTCTCCAGGTTTTCCACGTTGAGGTCCACGGCTACCACGTGAGAGACCTTCTGAGACGCCACCAGCTGCTTGACCATGGCCAATCCAATGCCATTTCCAGCACCGGTGACGATGCTTGACAAGAGTCAGTCCTAGCCAATCTACAAGTTACACAGTGGGCGTGGGGAACCGCCGAGGGGGTCCTGGGATCGACGTACACTACCTGATCAGCCATGTTTTTCCGCAGCCGTTTGTTTGCAATGGCACTGCAGAGATAGCTGGGTTCGAGCTGTATGAACCTATAGATGTACTATCGTCGTATTACAGCCACGTGGAGATCAATCGACGCCAACCCTAGAAATGCTTCCACAATGAGCTAGACCGCTGTTCATCAAGTGACCCAGACAACCAGACCCCATGAACCCGAGGGAAATTTCTCCAACGCTGGGCTAACGGTAAGCGTTAGCGCCGCCGGACAACCACCACCACCACCCGAACCTCCGAGCGCCAGGGCACAAACGCGAGTCCGGAGCAAACTACCGCTCTTCCCAGACTCCTCGAATATCTACGGTGATGTGGAGACACTAAATGGGTAGTCACAAACCCCGGTAGGAACCCTGGCGAGAGGTTTTCACGAACAGGACTTTGACGGCAGCCGATTTCGCACTTCTGAATATTTGGCGAAATTGCTGTGTAGGTGCCGTAGCAGCACGTTTGATGGATACGATACATGGAAGTCCCGTTGGTCTGCAGAGCTGAGAATCTGGGCCCAGGTGTAACATACTAATCCCGTTGAAAAAATTCGTTACCAACCGGGGGAAACTTTGGTTGTCACAGCATCTCGATACTAGAACTACCATCATCGCTGGCTACGAGAACAGCTCGACAGTCTGCCACAGCGACAGCAGTGACAATGCAACATGCCACAACCGAGTTTGTGTTCTTTGTGGTGTCGGACGATGTCAAACCAGAAGATCCGAGCAACGAACGAGGTCAGGAATTGTTGAAAGTGTTCCAGGCCGTGAAGGGTCAAGATGGATATGTATTGTCGGGTTGGGGCAGGACCGAAGAGGACATCAATGCCATGATATGGATCACTGGTACGTACATACTGGTGATTAGCCCAGTCCGGTGAAAGAGCCACCTGTTGATCTCACGAGACAGAATGGTCCATCGACAATGCTACGATGAATGTTGAGGGCCTGGCGTCCCTGACGAAGAGATCTCCGGAGATGGTCAAGATCAGGACAGTTCTGCAACCCTCTTTATCGGAAGTGGGAGGATTGCAGGCCACCCCGTGTATCGATGTTACCACTTTGACGTTCAAGGGTAATAGCACCGAACAGGAGAGAGCAACAGATTTGGTGGCTGTCCAGCGGATGAAGCGATGCGTCACTCAAGATGTAGCCACCGACGTCCAGCCGAGATTTTACTGCTTGAGCAGGCCTGACACATTTCCCGAAGTCGCTTCTAGTGAGAGCCCCAGTGGGAAAGCAGATCTATGTGTGGCTGTCGTGGGCTGGACTTCCAGGCAACAGCACTATGACATGTGGAAGACAGAGGAATTCAAAGCCTTGATTCCATCGGTCAGGGAACGGCTGCTGCCATATCCGCCGGGGGTTGGGATGAAGCACACTACTTTCAATCTCGTCTGAGAAAATCCCACAATCAGAGGTCTTCCGACAGAAAGTGCAACTCACATGATCTTCGCATTGAAGTTCTCGAGCTAGAGGACAATCTGAACGCAATCGTATTTGCCAAAACATCAGCATCCAAGTCTGAATGAATATACAGTTATCGAAAAAGGGTGAAGAAGCGCGGTCCCACGTTATTGGAGGAATAGGATAGTTCAGGTTGCCAATGATTATAGATCGTATTAAATTAAAAGTTTCAAGTCCCTTTCAAGATGTGGAAGGGCACCGACGAAGCTGTAGGCCTCAACCTATTTTGATATTCACGAGACGGAGATGGAATGCATTGTAAGTTGTAACTACCACGTGCTACCTGAGGTGGCACTTGAAAGATTCCTTCAGAACCTGGGCCTGGCCCGTCGGATTTAGTAGATGTACCTGAACTGCTTGTTCTTTCGGTCGGTCAAATCATCCTCATAAGCATGCTCAAAAGCCTCGGTGGTACCCGCCTTGTCACGACGACTGTTCTCCGTGCTGCAGACAAACCTGTAAACCACTACAAGTACTGCACATACGGCACTCATCGCAGTGGTAACCGCCCAGCCAGTGGGGTATCGCGGTGTCTCAGATTGGAGGAAGGTGAACGGCCCAATGAGATTTCCTGGGAAGACCATGTTAGTGTCTGAGTAGAAGAATGGCTTTGTGAACAGCAGATCAGGGGAGGCTTACCAAGACAGTATCCGACGAACATCCCAGACGAGGTTAAAGCTCTCTTGGTGTATCCGGCAGTGTTTGCGACGGCAAGATTCATCATAATTGCATATGCCGCAGGATAGACAGACAAAAGGTAGATCAAGACCAGCTTGCCACCGACGGGCATCTCGGGGCATTGCCAAAACAACACGCAAACCAACAAAATCACGAGTACCTCAAAACAGACGGTGAACGATCGCCAATTTTTTTGCGAGAATTTTTGCATGAGCCAGGCTGTACCGATCGTGAAGATGACGCCCGAAGCTCCAACCGGAATGGTGAGTAGGAGCGCGTTGAATCCGCTGAACCCCATGGATGCGATGATGATTGGATTGAACGTTGTTGGCACCGCATTAGACACATTTATTGTCAGACTCATGCTGACGATTAGCCAGAAGTGAGCGCTCGTAAGCAATTCCCACAGCTGCGAGGCTTTGAAGTGAGTATTTCGAACGCCGGCATTGTTTTCTCTGAGGCGAGACACGGCAATAAATTTCTCTCTCTCGTTCAGACTTTTCGCGTGGATCGGGTCCGACTCCATCACGAAGAGGATCACAAATGCCCAGAGTGAGGTTATGACACCTGCTACGATGAACATATATCGCCACGGGGCCAGCGCGCCTTTAATATGTCCAAGTCCGTAATTGATCAAGGGAGCAATCATCGAAATCATGGCAGCTGCCGAATACCACACACTGACGAATAGGTTAGCAAATAAAAAAAGATAACCAGAGAGGATCAATCTACCCCATGCGTAGGGTTTGCTCTGCTTTATTGTACCATCCACCGACAACCATCATCCAAATTGGCGATATCCCGGACTCAAGGACTCCTAAGAAGAACCTCTGGGCGTAAAGGCCTCTGTAACTAACACAGCCAGCCGCGGAAGTGACACAGAGACCCCATACAAACGTGATGCAGAAGATCACACGGTGGATGGGATATCGTTGTGCCAGTAGAACGGCTGGATAGCTGCCGCAAATGTAACCGAGGTAGAAGATTGAAGCAGAGAAGGAATAGCGATTCCCAATGGTGAGCTCGAGGTCGGTCCTCAAGCCGAAGATTGCCTTGGGTGTTTCTCGTCAATCACTGTGAAGGGCCAAGTGAAGTTGGGAATATTCCATCGACTTACCGCGTGAGCAAGCAAGACCTTGTCGTAGAACGTCATTCCAAATGTTACCACAAGGATGGGAAGCAATCGTTTGTCAATCTTCCTCAAGACACGCTTTTCTTCTTGCGGTGACCAAGACGTGTCACCTTGATACTGGCCGAGGACAACGAGAGCCTCGTCGTTGTGAAGTGTGTCGATCTTTTCCAGATTTTCAATGTGGTCGAGGTTGGGGGCGCCTGCTACCTCATAGAGAATGTCACTGGTCTTCTCGTTTGGCTGAGCCATATTGACACAGTGAGGATAGTCTCCGTACAGCTTGAGTCTACGTGCAGTGCTCAATATTGGATGTCCTGGGTTCCAAGTTCTTATAGTTGCGCAGGCTTTGTTCTGATGCAAAGACTGGGCCGTGGTCCAGCTTCTAGTAAAGGTGGGCCAGCGGGCTACAGAAATGGAAAGGGCCAGGGGTGCCCCAGCAAGGAGCCCCAAGGCTTCTGCGGGGTGCGTTACCCGACTCGCGGAGAAAGCCTTGAAACAAGGGACCCTGGGTGGTTCGGAGGTGATTGGAACAGAAGCTTTGTGGGGATTATGCAAGCCACCACACGAACCCCGGGTCCGATCACACCCACGCCGTGTCGGAGGTATTTGCCAGAAGCTCATTCTACGCCTAGCTGTTCGACCGCCGAGGTGTGCATGAATCAGCACACATCAAGTCTCGTTCCCCAAGCGCCTCGACGACTATCGCGTCGAAGAGCAGGTAGAAAGTGTCAGCCGTATAAGGACGTCGATTTAACCGCAAAGATGTGAGGCGGGTGACAAAGGTCGCAAGTGTCAAATCAACTTCTCATATCCAGCCTAGACGCAGCATACACACATTGCCAGACATGGGTTCTGTTCGGACAGCACCCCCGGCCATCGAGGATTTCAGAGCGTCATTGAAGGCCTCGAAAGTGTTGACGGCTGACTCTGAAGGCTATGACGAATCTCTTCATCGATGGTCAGAAGCGGCAGAGAAGCGAGCCGTGAGTGAAGGGCATCTCCCTCGCCTAGAACGAGGCAGCACTGACACTGATTGTTTCGTGCACAGGCTGTCGTAGTACAAGCGACTTGCGCGGAGGATGTCTCTAAGGCTCTGCTGTATGCCCAAGCCCAGGGTCTTGAGGTTGCTGTTGTGGGCGGAGGGCATTCCACTTCTGGGTCTTCGTCCACAGAAGGGGGTCTCGTGGTTGATCTGACCAAGATGCGCCAGGTGACTGTCGACCCTGAGAGACAGACGATCAAGGCACAGGGAGGCACCATCTGGGAGGATGTCGATCATGCCGCCGCCAAATACGGTCTCGCCACCGTTGGAGGCACTGTGAACCACACGGGAGTCGGTGGACTGACCCTTGGTGGCGGCTACGGATGGCTGACCGGCAAGTATGGGTTGACCATCGACAACCTGCTCGAAGCCGAAGTTGTCTTGGCCGATGGGCGCATCCTGCAGGCGTCGGAGAAGGAGAACTCTGACTTGTTCTGGGCATTGCGAGGTGCCGGTCAAAGTTTCGGAGTTGCTACCAGCTTCACTTTCCGCGGATACAAGCAGGAGAACGCAGTCTGGGGTGGTTTGCTCGTGTTCCCAACGTCAAGCCTTGCAAAAGTGGTTGAGTTCGCGAATCACGTGGTAACTACGACAGAGGGTCAGAGTGGAATGGTGGTTGGCATCGGGGCTCCAGCCCCGGCACGCCAACCTGCCGTTCTGAC